ATACATGTTTTTAGAGTAAATATTAATAATCTTCAAAGATCTTGTTGAATATCATTCAGTGCACGTGCAAGTAGTTGTATTTTATTTTCCATGGCTTTTTTATTGTTTGCCATTTCCTGCAGAAGCTCCCGCATTTCTTCTTCAACAGAGTAAACCTGAAAGAGCACACAGAGATCAAATAAAATTTTTGCTTTTCTTAATACACCTAAAGCCATAAAATCTTGGCAATTTTTAACACTTATAAGCAATGCAAGAGTTATGTGCTTATGTTTAAATATGCAATGCACTACTTTTGACGTTGGATGCAGTAGCAGAGTTTTGCTTTAAAAAAAATATTAACCTGCTAGGAGATAGCAAGTAATGTATGAAAACCAGAAAACTTATTATGGAGAAAAAGCACCAGTTGTCATGCCAAGGAAGAATGCAGTATACGACAGGAACAGTAACTGTTAACATTGGCACAGGTGAGTTAAAAGGATTATCTGGCTTAACCATCATTACTCTTGCTTGTATAGATAAGGAAGTGTTATATTCGTAACAGCTACAAAGCATGGAGCTTTACTTTGCTGGAATACCAGTTCCCGAGATTTTCTTGCTGTGCAAAGATTGAGTACCAAACCAGGGCTGTTTCCATTCAGAGATCAGACTGATAGATACAAACAGGAAACTTCCAACCACCACTGCTGTAGTGGCTGTAGAATAAAAATGCAAATACAATAAACATATGCATTTAGTATTAAAATTACCTTTTCATTTGCTGCTTCAATTTGTTTTTCCTTTTCATTTGCCAGCTGCAACAGTTCTTCCTGATGTGCTGCCAACATTGACTCAAGTTTTTTTCTAAAAGCATTATCCATTTCATGAAGCTTTTCCACAGCAATCCTAAAAATGATTAAAAAAAGAGATCATGCTCCTGCAAACAACTGAAGTATTTTGCTTTGTCCAGTTCTGCCTTTGATAAGGTTTTAATAACATAGGCACAAAGACACTTCTATCAATATCAGCATTAGAAGATGTCCTGTTTTCTCAAGTATATGTTCTGGTTTTATGCACTGTGTTCAGGGCTTCTGGCATTCCTCTTAGCAGAAGCATTTAATCACTAGCAAAGACTATGAAGATTCGGGCTTGCTACTGTCAATATAGATAAGAACTTCACATGTTTTCAAATATCTACTTTTATACTTTTGCTTCCCAAGAAGTGAATGACTGAACTGTGTGATCCTGTAAATGGCGTTTGACCCTGTCTGACAGCAACACAAAAGTGTCTGCTTCACAGTAGTGAAGCATTATCTTGACTCAAGCAAATTTTAGGGGATAACTCTAAAATATGTAGGAACAAAAAGCAAGGCAAATTTTTCTACTATACCATTAATTTACAACAAATGTTTGAAACAATCCAGAATTATTTGGAAAAAAAGCTCAGTTCCACTATTGATTTTCTAACAATTCCAAACCCATTATTCCAAAACAATTATTGATTATTTGAGGAGGTTGGTTTTGGTTGGGTTTTTTTTGTTTATTTGTTTGTTGTTTGTTTTTTAATCAAACTTGACCATCAAGCTATTTCCCTTCATTTATTAATCAGATAACCTTCCTTAAAATAGCAACTAATGTATAATGAGTTCAGTGTTTAACTTAAAATGTAAAGCAAAAAACCTTAGTCGTAGCTATTCCTTTGGTAACATGGTTATTGCTGCTAGATAAATATAATAAATATGTAGTCTTATTAACTAGCTGGTATTTTCTCAAGAATAGTTGGAAGGAAGGAAGAAAAACATGAGAAGGAAGCCAAAGAATAAAGAAAAAAATCATACTGAGAATCTAAGCTTATCACAGGCAGCAGTCTAGCACACTTCTCCATACCAGAAGCATATGAAATAATTTTCTGGGTTATGAGTACTTGTTTCTGAATCATCTCATATTTAACTATTGATCCAAAAGATTGACCGTACATGAGGAACAAGAAAATAAATAAAAATCTGTTGCTACTTGTACGCAAAGAGAATGACAGGTAACTTAGAAACAGTCCGTTTGACATGGACTGGAATACTAATAAACAGCCAGCAAGTTAGGCAGGAATGTTGATCTGATGGAGGGCAGAAAGGCTCTTCAGAGGGATCGGTACAGGTTGGATTGATGGCTGAGGCAAATGGTATGAGGTTAAACAATGCCAAGTGCCAGATCCTGCACTTGGGACACAACAACCCCAGCACTACAGGACTGGGGCAGAGCGGCTGGAAAGCTGCCCATCAGAAAAGGACCTGGGAGTGCTGGTCAACAGTGGCTGAACACAAGCCAGGAAGGCACCCAGGTGGCCAAGAAGGCCAATGGCATCCTGGCCTGTATCAAAAATAGCGTGGCCAGCAGGACCAGGGCAGTGATTGAGCCGCTGTACTCAGCACTAGTGAGGTCACTTCAAGAAAGACATTGAGGTGCTGGGGCATGTCCAGAGAAGGGCAACAGAGCAGGTGAAGAGTATGGAGCAGAAGTTTCATGGAGAAGCAGCTGAGCTGGGGTTGTTTAGCCTAGAAAAGGGGAGGCCTGGGGGGCACCTCAATGTTCTCTACAACTACCTGAAAGAGGGTAACAAGTGACAGGATGAGAGAAAATTGCCTCATGTTGTGCCAGGGGAGGTTTAGATTGGAATTGGGAAAAATTTTTTTACTGAAAAGGTTGTCAAGCATTGGAACAGACTGTCCAGGGAAGTAACTGATTTCACCATCCCTGGAGGAATTTGAAAGAGTTGTAAATGTGGCAGTTAGGGAGATGGTTCAGTAGTGGACTTTATGCTGGGTTAACGATTGGATTTGATGGATCTTAAACATCTTTTCCATCCTAAATAATTCTATGATTTATTAACATTGTTGTGGTAAGTATTGGGGATCTGTCCTCCATTTTGTACACAGCGAATGACATATTTTTACTTTATCCTGCACAGAAATTAGTGAAAGCACTGTGGCCTCCCTTGTACACCAGCCACCATTGCTTGGCTTGATCTCTGATTTGCAATCAATTTGTTCCATGCATCCTGGTCATGAGCTAGAGGGTTGGCAGGCTCATGCTCAAAGAAACTCTGATACAGACTGTGCCTCATGCACAAACATCTTCACTGTACAACTCCAGCCAGCACGTGTGATCGCTGCAGAAGAATCTCTGTTATGTAAGTGACATGGAGTTTACTCACAAGGTTAATCAAAAGCATTGGGATGGAATGGGTATAGTAGGGAGGAACGAGTGTAGGCTCCAGTCATTATCAAACAAAATGGAAACAGAACTAAGTTTAAATGACGAATGCTGTAAGTGAATGCCAGTTCCACAAAGTACATCCTTCTAGGCACACAGAGTTTGTAACTGGGCTCACAAGTACTTAAAAAGGTATTATGCATTCTTTTGCCATATAATCAAACCTTTTTGTATACTTATTAACAGTGAAACTCTACAGTAACTGAGTAGTCACAAGATAAACTATTAAGGTATTCACCTTTGAGTTTGAAGACTTTTATTTCTCTCTTCAATCAGCTTCTTCTCCTTGATATCAAAGTTTTCCTTCATTTGTTTAACCTGCACCTCCAGCTGGCTTAAGAGCTCTCCTTTACCTTGCCACCTCTTTTTCAATGCGCTGAAAATAAAATGCACGTATTTACAATGACTATAAATACCACTTCTTAGGAGGACAGAAAAAACTCATTTTGCCTCATTTCTGTGGGTATTAAGAGCAAGCAAATATTGTCTGAACATAGAATAACTTCAGAGCAGTGTTGCATACAATGATCCCAAAGAATTATTGTGACTTGTCTGTATCACCTGTGTGCATGCCTAATATCATCAAGTTCTACTTCTTTTTCTTCTAGTAGTTGCTTTAATTCCTCTTTTCTTTCATTCTGCCTTTCTAATTTTTCCATTAGCTTTTCACATTCAGCAGCTTTTTCATCCAACTCTACTTCAAACAATTTCTGAGCTTCACGATTTTCTTCATGCTGTTTTCTGATTTGTTTATCTTTTTCTTGTAAGCCCTTTAGAAGATAAATATTTTAGTACACATAAACACTTTATTGTTACAATTTAAGAGTATTTGTTTAGTCTATGGTGGAATAAAGCAGAGAAGGACATGTGAAAGTTTACTCTTCTGAATGTATGAAAAACACTTAGTAAAGTGATAGCCAGTTAATCAATCTTCATCTGAAAAAACTCAAGAGTAAAAAAAAAAAAAAACCACCACAATAAATCTGAAGTTGAAAGCAAGTTAAGAAAAAAGTTATTTTGAACTCTTATTCTACAGTTGAATAAACAACTTATTCTTTTGAACAACCTATCTACACAGTCCCTGAGTTCACAGTCTGTAACGACTAATGCATCTAACTTTGACTGACATAACATGCTATAAATTTTGATTAATAAGCTAAAGTTTTAAGTCTCTTAATGAATGAATGTAATTAATAGAGCAAAACATAGTACACCTCTGCTGCCAAAATACTGATTTACAAGAACAGAATAAAAAAAACCAAAACATTTACATGTTGTAAAATAAACATGAAGCAAACATTTAAAATTGTTTTTCCTTTTTCAGGAAGAATTATACTATCTGGGTTTCACCTCTCTCAAAATCATTTTCAAGAATAATTTGAAGCAAGGCAAAGAGAATAAAGTCTGTACATAAATATGGTTCAATGAGAGATTCAAAGTAGCATTTCTCTACATGAACATGAATTTAATAAAAAACTCTCTTCTGCTCTCAGTGAAATGAATTGCCACTGACAGCCTGATTGTGATTTGTGAGTTGGTAAACAAGGACTGCAGGGCCAGCTTTCATTACAGCCTTTACAATTGCTAAAATTAGGCCTTGCAGAAAGTTAAGTACAAAAATTGTCAGATATGGCACTTACTTCTTTCAATCTCCTAATTGTTTCTGTCTGATCATCCAGTATTTTGTTTTTAATTCTTATGGTATCACTGTCCTGTTCCTTTTGCTTTTTTAACATCTCAATCTCATTTGCCAGAACTTCAATTTTAGCTTCCAGTTTTCCCCGATCTTGAGCAAGATGAGCTCCTAGACAAAACAGGATATTCATACTACAGTGCTCGTTTTACAGATGACTTCAAGATGTAGAATGTAGGGAAATGGGGTGGAGGTGAAGGTAAGAACCACCTTACAAACCAAACCATTGACTATTTTGTCCATTGGAAACACTGTAGGGATTTAATCTGTAGGTAGGTAACACTCAGGTAGCAAGTGTAGAACTGAAGGTCTCTGTTTTATCCTTTGAAAACTTCTCTGAAAAAAGTCAGCAGTAGTTCTTACAGATCCAGCCAATCTCAAGAGCCCACAAGGTGGTGCTGAGTCACATGAATAGAGAAAAATGCCCAAGTTTTTCTTCCCCCCTTCAGTATTTTATACTTTAAGATACATACTGAAATTTTCACATTAGACTTATCTGATAGAAAAGTAGCATTATATAACTCTATTTACAAATCTTTGTTTTCCTAGTTTCATATTTAAAAGCTCTTTGTATGACACTGTGGTATTTTGATATTTTCAGGAAATAGATAAGCTGTATTCGCAACCAACTCCCACAACTGCTGTTACAGATCCCATGTGCCACAGAACATCTGTTTTTGCACATCAACTCTACAACTAGATAAGAGCCAGAAACCTTGTCATGATTACAAACACTCTACTGGAGTGTTTATTTGAGAGGTAAGACACTGAGCACCACCATTTTTTCTGCAAAAGAAAAAATCCCCCCAAAACTATTTTACCCTGTTGTGCCAGCTCCTGTCCCCATATTTTTCTTTCCATTTTTAACCCATCAATCACAGATTCCTGGGCTGTCAGCTGAGAAGTAAGTTTTCCATTTTCCTTTTTTAGAAGTTCAACTTGAACGGCCTTCTGTTTGTCCTCCTCAGTCACAGTTTCAAGTTCTCGAGTTCGACACTGTATGAATGAACATTGGAAAAAGACAATAAGATCCTTTAAAACAAGTATGCAAAATTTCAAATCAATACTAATTGATTTCCTGGTTAGGAAAGTAATACTTATATACAGCAAATTAACTGAGAAATATTCTGCTTGCATTCAGGGTTCTATATGCATTTCTTTCCAGTTATGAAACTCAAATTTGCTTCAAGTAGACATACTTCAATCCCAGAAAACTGTAAAGCTGATTTCTAGATAACTACCCTAAATTATCAATGCCATTATAAAAACCTATTTAGAATCACAAATTCCCAGGTAAAAAAAACCAAAGAGAAAGCAAAGATATTAAAAACCAAATCATAAGGAAACAGACAGAACTGGGATGAATTTTCACTTCCAATGATAAAGATTTATCTTCAATTATGCACTGTACATTTTGTTTTACAAATTACAGCTATTTAATATAGGTATTTTTCAATCTTGTTCTTAGCAGCATCACTGACTGGCAGAATCCTATTCTGTATACCAACACAATGTTTGGACACCCCAACAGCAACATGGAGGGAGGAGACTAGAAACAATTGTGCAGCAGTTGTACTGCACCCAAGTTTTGGCACAAAGAGGGACTGGATACGTACATGGACTAAATCATACATCTATTTAAAAGTTATGTTCCTGAGATTTTTAAAAATTATTTATGGCTAGTTGAATAGTACTAGAATACGTTACCATAAAGCAACTGTGCCCACAGTATTTAACATTAAAATTTGACAATGCAGAAGCATATTCCATTCCTTTGAATTTACAAGGGGTCAGGGTTACTAATGTAGGTTTTGTAGTTTTGAGTGACCATCCGATTACATACAAACTGCCAGTGCTCCCAAGGCAAGGAGTGCACGTTTGAAAACACGACTAGTCCTCTTCCATATGGGGAGCAGCATTTGTTGAGAAATAGAAGTGCAAGATGCAAGAATAATGGCTGATGTGGAGTACTAGGTTTTAGAGCGACAGGAAATGTGTCTTTCAGTCAATCAACCTTTTATGGAACCATTAACTTTTATGGATGAAATATTATAAAAAATATATATGTAGTTGAACTGTTTGGAAACAAGTACCTTTAGGTTTGCTGTAGCTTCTTCATTTGATTTTGTTAATTCTGCAATCTTTGCTTTCTGTTCTTCTACCATACTTGTCAGGTCTTGGATCAGACTTGCCATATCTTTTTCCCTTTGTTCAGATTCAAAGAGGGCTCGCTTATGTTTAACTAGGTCAGCAGAAACATTTTCAAAACCCTCTTTTACCTAAAGTTTTGTAAGACAAGACTTGAAAAATGCTAACATTTGGAAAAAGTGTGTATACATAAACACAAGTGACATGTGAATTCCAAGTGAAAAAAATAGAAATTTATCAACTGTATATCAAATTAGTGAATATCTGAAACTGTTTTTTTACTGGTTTGTTGGTGATACTTCAACTTGAAACTGGTTCTGCCCAGCTCCATATTTGTAAAAAACCCAACAAAACAAAGCAAACACAAACAAAAAACCCAAGCCAAACCAACCAACCAATCAACCCCCCCCCAAAAAACAATACAAAAAACACACGAGTGGATGGGAAGCAGAGCTTGGGAACTGAAAACAATGCCTTGATTTAATTTCATTGTTAAGATTGACATTAAAATCTTCAAAGAAGGAGTTAAAGTAAATTTAGTTTTTTTTTTTTTCCCAGCAGAAAGATTTGAAGGGTAAAATATAAAATAATGTAAATACTAGCCAAAGAAATAAGTTCTCTAAGGAGTTTAGTAAACAAGTTTTGAATTCTGAGTTTCAAAATGCATATCCAAAATTCAATTTTGAAAAGTTAAACAATAAAGTACTTCATTACTAAATACACTAGTATATATGTAACTATAACCTTATCAAAACACATGCATTTTTACTATAATTGAATATATTCTAATAGGATGTGGACATACTTTAAAAGAAATTAATAACACCAGACAGAAGTGTTTTATTCTCCTTTCTTTTGATTAACTTCTACGTATGAACAAAAATGCTAGGTTTTTTGAGTGCTGACTTGGCATTCGCTGTTGATGCTCTAATCATTGCTACTTCAAAGCCCACTATCAGTATTTTTGCATGAATGCTTGACCATAAGGATCAAAAAAAACCCCAACCCAACAAAACACCAATAACCGAAACAACCCCAAAATATGTGCCAAAACCCAACTCACTTAAGAGAACTACAACCCCACCTAATGTGAGATTAAATGTTCTCTCAGTCTTACCTCTTTAAACCTTTTTGCTTCAACAGTTAGAGCTAAACGAAATTCATCTTCTAACTCTCTGTACTTCTGGTAGGACGTGTTAATTTTCTCCTGGAATTCTTTAACATACTGTTCATGCCTCTGCTCCTCTTTAGCCACTTCTTTTGACAAAGCATCTTGAAATTCAGGTCCATTTAAAGCAACTCGGGTTTCAAGTTCTTTCCTGAAGTTACCAAACATACACTTGAGACATAAACTGCAGTAACTTGCAATGCTGTTTCAATTAATTTCCTTGGTATTACTGAACAAGAATAATGGATTCCACAATAAATGGTATAAATTCCTTAGTCTCACAGACTGATTTCAGTCTTCTATGACAATGACACTGCCACAAGGAAAATTCTGTTGACTAGTGTTAAAACACCCAAAGAAATATCCTTATTCTTTAATTCAAACTTTTGTAGAAATTACTAAATTGCTCTTTTGCTTTTAGTTAGCATTTATTAGCTTTGCTGTCAACAAATATCTGGAAGTGACACTGGAATCAGAGAAAAGCCCTGTACAGCCAGACACCCTCTTTTGCAGTCATTCTCTTCACCCTCACCCAACCAACAACTGTTGCTTCTCACTCAAGACTCAGGACTCAAAAAGCACCAGCAATGGGGACCTAAAAGGAGAATGTTGAAGCAAAAGTACCCTGTACTTTCAGACTATTCTGTTCATCTGCTTTAAAGCAAAAAAACTGTCCTTCACATTTCATCTTTTGGAGATTTATAATTATTGTAAGTTCTCAAAACACAGCTATCAGATTCTTCCACCTAAACTTACAGCTATCTTGGTATCTGAATACATTTACCCATGTAAAATTTAGCAAATTTAACCAGCTCATTTTATTAGTAACCTTTCTCACATATTACTGTACCACAGGGTACTTAGTGCTTTAGTTTGTACACATATTTGATTGTATTAGATGCCAGTAAAGAATGTACACTCAAGTATTCTCCAAAAAAAAGGGAAATTTTGGAAGAGGAAATCAGCCAGGAAGTAACTCACCCCCACACCCACAAGCAGGATATTGCAGAAGCTGACTTATTTTTTTGAATACTTTGTGTTATTGTAGTGTATATAATTCTTCAGACAGTAATTCAGATACAATTTTATTTTTATCTGATTTTTCCTGGATTACAGATCAAGGATTTCAAATAAAGAGTTCAGCCATATAATAAGACAAGAACCTATCAAATGGAAGTTGCTTACATGAACTTATGAGTCAGGAATCTATGAGATATGAAGGTATTCTTAAACAAGCAAGAAAATGTGTGGGAAGACATTTACATTTTTACAAAGACCAGCTCTCACATGACTTAAAAAAACCCCAAACAAACCACAAAACAAATCCAAACTAAAACACATCCATACTTTAGAACACATTTAAACAAAGTATATTTACAACACTAGCATCTCTATTAACTTGTGAAAAGAAAATAGATGACCCAATACCTTTGCTCTTGCTCTCTTAATATGAGAAGTTCCTGTAGTTGTTTTACCTTCTCCTTCTGTTGTCGGAAGGATATTCGAAGTAACTGTACTTCTCTTTCATTTGCTGATGCTTTAAGCTCTGCTTCTTGCACTTGTTTCATCTGTGTGGAATTCATAAAGACAAGAACAAGATTTTTTTAAAACTGTAATCTAGTCTTTATGTCTTATCCTGGAATACAAAGGAATAGGTGCTTTATAAGAGTTTTGTTGTTTGTTTCTTATTGGTTTTGGTTTTATTTTGTTTTTTTCTTAATACATTTTGTTTCACTGGAAGAAATTTAAGACAAATGTTTAAGTCTTAGCTTAACTTACTACAACACAAAAAAAGCAATTTTCATGAAGAAACAAAAGCATTTACCTAATTTATAAAGAACTTGAAAGTGTCCTGCAGAAGTGGAAGAAATGCATTGGCAGAATGATTTCCTCAGTTATAAACTCTCATATTGTAATACTTGTATTAGTTTCAAACAAAACATTTTTAGACGTATTCAACATAACCTTTTTTTCTTTAGCACTCCACTTATATAAACTGCTTTTTGATTTTTACAGTTTGGAGTTGCTGAACAGAGCTGCTTCCTAATGATTTTACAAAAAATGGAGAATCTGTAAACTCCAGATGGCATACTCCACTTTTTCCATTTTATCCAAGCTTTTCTGAGTAATTACATTTCATAAGCTTAAGCCTTTTATATACAAAGCTCTCTTTCCTGATTCAATAAGGAGGGGAAAAAAAGAATATGAAAAAGAAAAGTTATAAAAAAGGTTTTGAATTACTCATGAAGTGGTAATTCAAAATCAGGACACTTCAGAAGGCTAGTTCTCATGTTCTACATGTCAAGCCTTTTCCTGAGTAATATTTAGACACACCCCACTGTATTCTTGTTTTGTGGATGCAGAGAAGCAATTCTCACCTAAACTGAATCACTTAAAAACTGTCAAGCAAGAGCAGATGCAAATTTAAAGACTTCCAGAAAAT